TAGTTTTGATGCAAAAACGCATGATCGCACCGGCTCGCCTGGTGCGTTCCAGCCTTTGTTCTGTTAACTCTAAAGTCTCCTTTGACAGTTGGTCCAAAGTTAAATTAAATACCACATCACCGTCCTAACAATAATTTGGCATCTTGTTTTAGCTCTTTGGCGAGCATTAGCTGGGCAAAATGCCGTGCATTTGATCTGTGAAACGAAGGTGGGCTACAAATGGAATCCGGCCTCTCACAGTCGGATCCCAATAATAGTCCATCTTGAGGCTCCGCATGATCACTCGAAAAATGCTCTTGATAATACTACAAAACAAATTTTAGCACAAGATTACTTTCGCATGGCCTCCCAGGATGTGTCGAAAATGCCCATGAATAAAAGCACTGCTTGCAGAATATCCCTTATTGCTTCAGGCGGAGCACGCAAACTTCGAATTTCCGACAAACTTTCCGGTTTGATTGAACCCACTGCTTCTCGTGCTTCGCGCAGCAGCGGTTCTACCTGAACAATTTACATTTTTACGAAAGAAAAAAGCCAGAAGCGCCTTCTTACTACTGCGAAGTTATTCATACTGAAGCTACTCGCGCACTGTAAAGAAAACTAGAAAATTCCTTAGCTAAACATAGTCTTGGTCTTTCTTTTAGCCGAAACACTATATCTCACTCCCAGAATTAGGCTTCGTTTTTAATCAGGACTTAGGCCTGAACTCACACTCAAGCTCACGTGTTTGGCCTAGGTTTTACAGTAGCATATAGAGTTTGGCTAGGACTTACTCACTTAGACTTTAAGCTTATACATAGGTGCAGCTTTATGTCCAGACCCCTTAGGCTTCAAAGCGGACGTGCTCTCATATTTATAATCATGTCTAAGTTTGGGCTTAGAGTTAGATTTCAGGCCTGACTAAGGCCAAAACTTAAAAGTGGATTTCGCGCTAAGCCTGAGCACGGATGACGTAGGACTGCGCTCAAGTGTTCTTTTGTTGTTCGGTAATGCAGTGCTCGATCAATACCTCGCGCAGTTGCTCCTCAATCAAGCTCTTTTGTTTCTCAATCTTTTCATTTTCCTTCGCAGTTGCCATTTTCAATTTTTCAATATCAGCCCGCTGGTCATTTGCATTCTGCAACATAGAACAGCCATAGTGAATTCTCATAACAATTTGAAGGTAAAAAAGCTGAGGGAAAAAGACTGCTTAAAGCTAATGCTTGCAAACAAGCCGCTTAGGTTAATGCACCGTACTGCGCGTGCCAACTCAAATATTGTAAGGACTGGAACTACTCCTCCGCCAGCAAATGCATGGCTAAATTTGTTTTGAGCGGATTTTAACCGTCTCATAGGGATGACCCTCGCCCCCACCTCCCCCGGGGGCTTAGGTATCACTTATTTTACTGTAGAAAAGTCAACCTGAAACGTCCTGTCGCCCCCCCCCCCCGCTAGGAACCTTCGAGGGGAGGGTGTGATAAGGCGACTGAAGGTGCAGTGAGAAGTTCGAGAAAGAGGAGGGGTAGTGCGGCGAGTGAAGGGGGTTGGAAACTACCCCAGCGAGAGGGGTAGTGACGAAGGAAGAAGGCCCCCCCCCCCTCAGGAGATCGCTCGGAATCCGGCTTTGGAGATGGCAGAGTATCGCGCTAAATACAGTAGCCGTGATTATGGACAGTAAAAAGGGGGTGTACAAGGAAACCGCAACGATCACACATTTTAACCATAAGATGCTGCGAAAATTGGAAGTTTTAGAGTTCGGGAATCAGATGTTATAAAAACTGTTTATACTTAGGTTTAAAACCACTGTAAGGATGCAGCTAAGAATGCAGCACGAGCCGAGAAGCAATTCAGAGCTCTCTGTAATGAAATATCTGTTGGACTGATCTGCCAAAATTACCAACTGCTAGCTTTTTGGGTTTTTGTACTACGAATTTTGCGTTGTTTTCGAAATTTCGAATTCCTGGCTGATCAGGAATTGTATATACACACAGACATGGCCTCGCCTTAATGCATTTTCACTTTCATTAGTGCAAGGACGTATAAATACCTAGGCAGCTCCTGTCACTTTTCACTCTACGCACACTAATATTAAGACAAATCCGTAAGGATACCGTCATGCTTTTTGATATTGCTTTCAGTGCCATATCAGCGTCAGTTTGCTTTTCAGCGAGTAATTTGCTCTTCTTGGCTGCCTTCTTCTGCATTTTGGAAATCGACTCATGTGCTTCCGCTAGCTTACCAATTCCGACCTGTGAATAAAATGAGCTGTCCTGATGCCTTTTGATCGTTAACAAAAGTTCAATGAGAATGAGCTAGAACACAAAAATATTCAATCTATCTTCTCGAAAAAAACCTGGACCAGACTTCGTGCTTCCGTGCATATTACGTGCCTCTTACATGTGTTCTGGATGAAGACACTTTCACAAACAAAAACAGTCCATTGGCGCGACTATTTCTCTTTTCAAGATTTATCTGGGAAGCCCATAAAAAACGAATTCAGGCCGTTAAGTTTCCTCAACAAATCGCGTCTGAATACATTTCAGGATCACAGCATAAGCGGTATGATTATTTAATTTTGTATTTGCAAAAAAGTTACTTTTAGCCTATTCGAGCGTGACTCCACGGCGGTTCGTTTCTTTTTCAGAATCTGGTTATAATTTTCGACGAAACTAATGAATTTCGCTGGCGGCGCAATCGCAGTTGGGCAGAGCTGATACATCTGTCCGAAAGCAGCTAGAGTATCCGCTGACGGTTTTTCGTTGTGATGCAACAAAATTAGTTCCGCAACCTAAAATTTTGTACTCGGTAATTTATAGACAAAAACAATAACTGCATTTACAGCGTAAATTCAAGCAGTGTTATACAGAAAATACCAGAATCGCTCGCACATCGGTGCTGATATCCCCTTGATTACTAACCATCGGTAAGGTTAATATAAGTTTTATCGCCCAAGCTTAGGCAGGCAGTGACACGCTGAGCAAAAAATAAAGGAAAAGACTAGGTGATGTTAGCGGCGCTGAATCTACTGTTAGCAAATGATTCTCGCTGCGAATTACTTTTTGCTAGTTTTCTTCGTCAAAACTCGGTATTCCGTCGAAAAAAATTGTAATCCCGTATCTCTCTAAATTTGTGCTCTCATAAGAAATGCACTACTCAGACTGAGTCATTTCTTATTGTCAACCATTTCTGTGAGGGAGTTTTTATAGCGAAACTGAAATTTAAAGAAAAACGGAAGATACTTGCAAGCAACAATGCAAAAACCTGAGTTAAGACACTCTTATCCCATGTTTCCTCCCAGATAACCGCACATTCCTTGTATAGTGATGGATTTGACGAACACTTCACAGCAAAATCGGCGCTGTCAATATTCAAAATGAGAACGACGTGCAGGTTTGCTTTCACTTCTGAAAACGGCAAAAATACAATGTCAGGCCGATTAACAAATAAAAGGTAATGCTAAAAGGTAATGCTTTGCAGTTAAATATAATAAATCCACTTCTTTTTGCGGTCTTCAACGCCCTCTGATGCATGACTGAAAAAGACATCTTTTTCAGCCAAAAATCTATTAGTGTGCAGGCTTTTACATTGCAAACAAAAGCGTAGAAGCTCACTTCGAGTAAAATATGAATGCAAATCGCCACGAAAGGCATCCTGGGAAGCCTGATCTCGCAAGCCGGCTAAGCAGCTTTCAAACTCCTGCGCAGTGAATATTCCGGGAAGATCACCGGATGACAAGACCGAGTCGATTGATTGCAAAAATTTTTCGTGTAGCAAGTGATAATCTTCAACAATAAAAACAACTTGTTCGCCACTTATTGCTGCATTCTGGATGACCTACAAAAATTATTTGGTACAGGAAAGAATTTGTAAACTGCACTACACTGCTAATAAAAACTGCAAGAAAAGAGATTTCCTCAACACAATGGATGCTCAATCTTTTAGGTGTCAAACTTACATCAGCCTCTATCACAGTAGACAGTGAAACTGAACTAGAAGTCAAAATCGAAGCCTTCTGCTTATTCGCCCTCAGTGAATGGCAGAAGCCTCAGGAAATAACCCAAGTGGTAGCAAAGGCGAACAGCAATATCTGATAGCAAGACTTTCGATTGCTCGCTCTTTCGTGGGTTGTTTGCAGAGAAAATATTGTACGAATATATTTTTTTCTTTTACTCCTCCACAAAAAGACTTTTTTCACCCAGGAATAGTTATAATTTCAAAGCACAGACAATAAAGAATTAGAGAGCAGGCTTTCTTCAGCCGTGACCACTATCAGTAATTCAAAGGTACTAGTATAAATCCTCCGCGAACAAGTAAACTGGGTGCTGGTACATTTACCAAGCTAGCATCGCTTTCAGTTTGCTTCTTAAGCAGCCCACGGAGGAAAGAATCATCGGATGCACCCACATAAGGCGACTGCTGCTGGCGAAATGCTTCCTCTTAGACCATTCATTTCTCATACGGAGAATGAAGTATCTACTTACCGTTTTTAAATCGTTTCGAAACTGTTTGGTGCCGTACGTGGATGTTAGCTTTGGAGAGAAAACCGGAATTTGATGCATATTCGCAACAAGTGAGGCAGCTTCTCGTTGACCCATCCCTGCTCTACCAGCTAGCAACACTGAGCCTCCTGAACCTTCTTCTTTTTAAAGGAAAATTGTTAGAAGCTTGTTCTTCACAATGAACTATTGCCTTTCTCTTCTCATCTTGCTTAGAATGCAGGATCGCAAAACTGTTAAAGTAATTAGAAATTTCTTTTTCTGCTAAAATAATGGTAGACATAGAAGTAGTAGTTTTAGCCGAGAAGAGAAATGTGACTTGGAGTGCTAAGCTGCGCTAGAAAATATATTGAACGATTATGACCTAAAATATTTCCACACTGACGTTAGTTCAAAAAAAGCAAAAAAATCGCCAAGTTGACAATTAAAGTACCGGGAGCTGTGATGATTCGATCAATTTTTGAGCATAACGACACAAATTCATCGAAAATCGGCATTTTAAAATCAGCGACCTCAAATTCTGGAAAAAATCGTGGAAATTCTCTAACGAGCAAGCGACTGAAAACACGGTATTCATTTTTTTGAACTTATGCTTCTGAAACAAATTTAAAAAAATCTAAACTAGCAAGTGATAAAGTCACTTTAAACAAACCATATCTGTTAATAGCTTTTTGTAAAAGACTGGCGTATTCTTTAAATGGAATGATTGGTAATGGAGCGCCTTTCAACATTTTTGTCGGAAGAGTTCCTTGGGCTGATACGTACAAGTAATCTGAAGAGAAGCAACAGTGCTACTGACCAGTAGTCTAAAATATCTAACCATTCAAAACTCCGCTTTGTATTAACAAAACGTACCACCATCTTCATGTAACGCAACCGGCGACAGAATATCGTTAATGATTTTATCGAATCTGAAAAATGCATTCACCGACCAATAGTTGCGGTTTTGCTCAGAGATAGTCATTCAGCTGCTAACAATGCCTGACATTGTTCCAATACGAGAATCACCCAGGCTGTCCAGTGAGTACCCCAAGTTAGTAATATCACTGGAATGCTTTCTACCACACTGGGTGCAGCTGTTTCCAAGCTTTTCGACCCTGAGCTGCATACCTCCAGCTAGTACCCATTACCTGGTCAGTGCATGTGCGCCAGCTTTTCAAGCGTCATTTACCTTCTTACTTAGTCACAACGATATCCTGCACACCGCTAACTATAAACGGAGAGCCTGGTTGTTTAGTCCTAAAAACAACAATTGAAATAACAACAAATATATCAATCCGTGGCATGAAACAGTGATCAAACAAAATGCTTTATAATAAAAAGTCATCGAGAAGAAAATGAAACGCCGTGACACGGTGGTACAGAGGAACTGCTTAACCGTGGCAAAGAATCTTAGAATCTTGCCGATATCTTTAAAAAAACTTGGGAAAACACTCGAATGGTTGATTAACAAAGGATCACTTCCAGTGCAGAGCATTGCTATAAACCACAAAACATTCTGCTGAGATATCTTACCAGCTCTTCAGCCCTAAATCAGTGCTTATGTAGGAGTCCAAAAAGTACTACCTCGATTCTCTTGCGGATAATGACCCTTACTGGTCAGAAGACACAAAATTAATAACAATAATGCCCTCAGTGAACACTATTACCATCAATAATGTTATTACCATCATTATTATCTTTACCAGAAGCATCCCAAGCCTATATAACGAAAGCACGTACCGTTGCTGGTGCTCAGTACCAACCAAACGGTCTCTGAAGATTCGTCGGCACTCATAAACCATTGCGCGTAAAAAGTTTTCGCCTGAAACTCAAAAAGTAGCTAACTTTAGAGAGCGAAGGGCACTAATGCTATCATCCACAGAATTTAATTTAGCCTTGTGCTGCACGCATATTTGCTGCACTAGCCCAACACCTCTTGCAGAAAGCTGTTTCCTGCAGCCAGTACAAATGCATTATTATAAACACGCTTTTCAATTGTCGCACATTTTTTGCAGTGCTCACACTGCTGGACTGAGACTGCTTCAGCAGCACATGATAGGCCGGAACGAAAAATTTTTCTGCACAGAAACCAAAATACGGGGAGAAGTGCATTCGCACAGCACTTGTTCTGCGTACCAAAAAAACTGGACGGAAAAACGCTCATTCCTGCATGTTTTTGGTGCACTTTTTACAATGTGATCCCACAGAAGTTCATAACAAAAAATATGGACTTATTGTTCCTGGCGCCTGTCGCCATCTTTTCGCTTTTTTATGCAGCACTTTGTAAACTTCACTGCATCTAGCACTGGCCAGTTTGACAATGAATGATCTCTGTTTCGCGCAGGCTTAATTGAATAGACTGCATAAGTGTTTTGGAGAATTCAGGCGTGAAGAACTGTTGCGCTTGGAGGCTGATTGATGCGCAACACTGCAATGTGGAGTGTGCACTCGATTTTGTAGAAAAACATATTGCAAGCGATGGACAGCAATTACCCGTAATGTCGTAGCGCATAAGGCCAAAAACCCAATTCGTTAGATGGTTCAGCGTGAAAACATAGTGTGGCTTATCGGTCTGTATGAATGTATTCCGAATTTCATTGAATATGCGCACCATGATGTTTGATACTTCATCCACACGATGAGTTGGCTGGTTTGAATCCTAAAATTAGGTGGAAACTGTCTCAACACCTTATCCAAAAACAAAGAAGTCTCTTCTTTTGCTTTGTTTGACTGTAGAAAAGCTAAACAAAGTCCTCCTGTTCTTTCTAGCCACGAAGCGCTATTGACTTTAGCTGATTTGTTCTGAAAGCGTGGTAAAAATGGCAAAATGAACGAGATACTGAATCCAGTTAGTGCATGTACCGATGAGTAAATCATCGAGCAGTCAGTGTTTCATTCCTTAAGAAGACTAGCTCATTGAAATATCAAAAGCGAAAAAAAAAAATTCAAAAGAAAGATGTATGAAATAGGACAAACCTTGAACGCTAACGCGACATGAGAGGAATAAATTTTGATCAGATCTTGCACCGTCGGATATTCCACAACACAAAAACGAAATCGAGACACTAAACGCGGAGGAAGCGGATAATGTCCTGCATCGCTTACCAGTGTTATGGATGACACCAGCTGAACAGACTGACTTTATCTTTTACGATACGGTCAGCCAACTATTTTGGCGATCATCGAGAATCAGTGTAAGGTGATGTGTAGCATTTCTTACAAAACGAGAAACTTCTCCCCTTGTTACGATAATAATACTTCCAGCTATGTCAAATTCGAAGCATACCAAGGTCAGTGGTGATGATGTAGAGCTCCGAACAGTCACACGGGCCACAGAGCGTCTGTCGAGGTTCTATTTTTATATTACAGCCTTTTTATGCGTTTTTTGCAGTAATGCAATGCAAAAAACGCATATTGACGAGGGGTTGTCTGTGT